ATGGGGGCCCCCAGTGGTATGGGGCCCCCAGTGGTATGGGGGCCCCCAGTGGTATGGGGGCCCCGGCGCTGTGAGCCCTGAAAGGGTGGGACTAGTGCGAAGGCCTTAATCTTCCGGGCTCCTGAAGGGGCTGGTGAGGCGCTGGCCTCGCCGAGTCGCGGTCTTCCGGTTGGGATAGGTGCACACCGCCGCGAGGCGCAGCCTCCAACCTGTGGGGCTGCCTCATCTTGGACTTGAGGCTTCAGAATGGTGAGCCGGAATAGACTCTTCTCCACTTCAGAAGCACCCTGTGTCACGTATTATGTGACAGTGACGCAAAGCTGACTAATACAGGGACCAACGTAAACACATCAGGGGATTCCATTTAAACATTAATCTTTCCACTGCTCTTTAAGACTTAGGCTGTCACCATGGGGCTGTCCGTCCCCTTGGCAGGGTCTTCCCAGGTTGCTAATTGCTGTTCATCTTGTTTGTAGGCTGCTGCTTTTCTTATTTCTGAGTCCAGAAGTCTTTGTCCCTCATCAGAAAAGAAAGATATGGCGAATGGATGGTGTAAGTTTTCTCACATAAGCCCAACCTGTCCCAAGTCCAGCCTGCAGTTGAGTCAGTAGCCCCTCCCAAAATTTGGGCTTCCGAGGAAGCCCAAAGATGAGGGCCCGGGAGAGACAAATCCTGTGGCTATCTGCTGTGTGCACAGGAACGGTCTGGAAGCTGTCTGACCCCATGTCCAGCGCCCCATGGATCCCCCGGCTGCGTTGATTGTGTGGCCACCACTGAGCAATTACGTGAACAGACGCTCTGAGCGGTGTGCTCTGATGTGGTGTCGGAGTGCAGTCAGAAGCTACAGATTTTCCTGCAGCCTCTGGCAGGAGACTCTTCAATGGCAAGAGAGTTTACTGGAAGAAAGTTCAAAGAGGAGAAGGACACTTCTTCACACATGTCAGAGCCATCAGCTGATCTGTCTCCTGCTCCACCCTGTCTGGGACTCTGAGTTAGGAGGGAGCACACCCAGCCTGAGTGGGGGTCTCAGTGGGGCTTGCAGACACAAATACCCAGAGGGTCCCTGGTATGTAATAAAGGATCAAGCTAGACGGTGCACGAAAGGGGTGGTAAGATCTGTGCCCACTGGAAAGTACGTTTCCTGCTTGGCAACCCACTTTCTGAAATGAAAAGCTTGGAGCTGGTCAGTCAAAGTGTCATGTGACTTGTTGCGAGGCCTGGCAGTCTGCAGAATCTGGCTCCAGCTCTGGGTGAGTGCAGTGAAAGACGTCCCACTCAGCTTCCCTGGGTGCCAGTCGTCTTGGCTGAGGAGATGGGCTTCTCTACATTGTCTTGGAGCTTTCCTGGTTGAGCTGAGGTAGGATCAAAGGCCTACTGTGAGCTTCATGGCCCTGCCCGCCTTCTCCTATGCCCACGGACCACACCCCTCTGTGGGTTCCCTTCCTTGGCTTGTAGCTGAGGTGTGTGGAGTGGCACAGAGCAGGCTGCTCTTGGCTGTCCCTGGCTCCCACCCGCATTCACTCTGATAGGCTTGGCTTTCCGAGTTCCTGCTGCGATAACGCGCAGTGCTGGAGCCCTGGGGCCTGTGAAGCAAGACAGTGGTGGGACGTGAGTGCCCCCGAGCCCAGGGGTCCACAAGAAGAGGTCAGACCAGACCCCCACACCCTGATCTCCACTCCTTGTCCACAGTGGGAAGCTCCACCCTGCCCATCCTGGTGGCCACTTCCCTGTGTGTCTTCTTCCTGTCGTCTCATCCACTCTGCGTTCAGGTGTCTCTCCACACATCTAGTGAGTCCTCAGCTGGCTCAAGGGAGCCACTGACAGCTTTGCCTGTCTGATCATACAGCGTCGGGCCCCATTTTTCTAGATGTTCCTGAGAGACATGTGCATGCTCAGTTTTAAATGTTATTTTAAATGTTGACATCAATTCCCTTTGGAGATTTCGAAAAATACAGTTTAATGCCTGAGTTCAATTTTTTAAATATATCACAGAATTAAGAATAGACCAAAACTCTCATGACTGTATGGTGACTATCACGGAGTCACCCTTGGTGACACCCCAAGGGACCAATGGCAGCCCTTCCCAAAGCAAAGTCCCAGGATGCCCAAAGCCCTTGTGTAAAGTGGGGGGTATTTGAGTAGAATCTGCGCATGTCCCTCCATGTACTCTGGATTTTCTCCAGGTTACTTGTGATACCTAATGCAAGATGTGCCCTGAAATACTTGCTACTGTTATGCTTTAGGGACAACAAAAAGGCCAAGAAAGCATCTTGTCATTTACTATGTGAGGTTGGCTGTGTTCACAAAGGCAGAGCTCATGGTGCGCAGGGCGAAAGTGTATCTGGACGTCAACAGAAGCACGGGCGCACCGAGGCCTTTTAGGCTCCTCTTGCAGCGATCCGAGCGGGGCAGCGGCCCACAGCACCCTTGCTGTCCCCGGGTCCTAACGAAGCCCTCATTTGGATCTGAGTAAAAGTGACACAAGGCCTCTCAGCACCCAGAGGAACAGCTGAAGCGTTATTATTAAGATCCTAGTGAACGCTAGCAGTATAATCCTAGTTATTTGCACATGATAACAGATCCTAACAGATCAGCGGACAAGCAGTACAGCTAATGAGGAACTCCAGCCGGCTTTCTGGCGTGCAGACGCTGCGGCTTCTCTCAGCTCAGCACCGGCGTCCGCGTCACCGCCCGGAGCGTTTGCGTCACGGCCCGGGGCGCTCGCGTCACCCCCCGAGGAGCTGCGTCACCGCCCGGGGC